CCGAGTGAAGCGAGAACAGGCTGTCGCATCGTTCGAGGAGCACGGTGGGAACTCGATCCCTTACGCGACCCGTGCTGTCGCCCCCTACGTCTTGGCATTGTTTGCCCCCCTCAGAAACGGTGGGGCAGCGTGCGGCCGATCGCTCGACCGCACGGAGGGATTCTCCCCCCGCGGAGCGGGAGGTACCCTGGGGTAATAAATCTTTAACAAGTGCCATTTTTTCAGCCCAGACCACCGCCCGACGCCACGCCGGTATACCGGTACCCTCCTCTGGAGGGCGTGCCCCTGTAGCCGAAGCCGGGGACATGACGACCAGCGGCCGGAAGATGCGTAAGCAACGCCGGCTCACTTCTCCATCGAGAGGTAGGCCAAAAGTGGCCCACCATCACCCATGGATTACGTCCGAAACGGGTCGGACGTCACCCGAAAAACAAAAAGGGGGAAGAAGGGGGAAGAGAGAGGGAGCCCGAGCGTCTCCAGGAGGAACACCCTTCAGCGAGTGAAGGGCGTGGAGAGCCCGCAACTCCGCCTGCTGGTTTTGGTCCACGTCATCCGATCTCTTTCGTTGCAAAGCCTAACTAGGCTACCCTACTCCTACACCTAGCCTACCTACCTAACACCTAGAAATCCTTGCAACGAAAAAGACCGGACGATACCCCTGGGAGTGGGACTGTTCCCAGAGGATCCCGTTATCCGCCACCTCCGGACGCGCCCGGTGGAAGTCCAGCAAAACTCCCCCACAGACGGAGCCCCCGGCCACGCAGAGTGCGCGCCGGGGGGCCCGCCGAGGTCCCTCGGGAGGGTGGTACCCTCCTGGGGTAATTTTGTTTTTAAGTGTGCCATCATTTTATGGTCCTTTGTTATTTAACCAGGGGTCGGTCCCCTGGGACGGCCCTTACGACTGGACTCCCTCCAGCCACTCATCTCATCACCGGGCACGTCACAGGCTTAAGATTAGGGCATTTTTTATAGAGGTACACATCCTCGCGGCCCCTGCGAGGCAGCGGCCCCCGTCCCCTACTCGGTAGAGATTACGGTATGCTTCTACGAAGCCACGCCGGTAAACCGGTACCCCCCTCTGGAGGGCCTTCCCCTGTAGCCGCCAAGGGGCAGCCGGGGACATGGCAACCAGCGACCGGAAGGGAGTGCCCTCCGGTTCACTTCTCATCCACGTGGGGTCTATCATTACTGACAGACCCACACGTCTGACCACGACGTGGCCACGCCGGCGTACCGGTACCCTCCTCTGGAGGGCCTTCCCCTTTAGCAGCCAAAGAGCTGCCGGGGACATGGTCTAGCGTCCAAGAGGTCTCCAGAAGGGAGCCCTCTCCCGCTTCACGCACCCTTTGTCCAGCAAAGGTGGGAAAAGAGAACACCGTGTGCAGTCTTCTTAGTTCGCGGCATCCCTGTGCAGACAACGCTGGTCCACGGTATCGGGGTGCATGCACACTTGAGCCCCACCGCCGCGACAAGGCGAGACCACGTTGTGTGGGGATCGAAGGATACCTAGACAAAAATAATTGCTAACTAAAAGTCAATTACGAAAATGCAAAAGCAATCATTTTGAATAAATCAATATTGATTTGTAATTATAATTTTCGTTAACAGCAAGTGCCTGCTTTTTAGTTATGCGATAACATTACAAATTAACCTTGTAAAAACCAACTGTTCAGAATTAATTATTAAAAATATATGTTTATTATATTATTTTTATAGATATCCTAAGCGAGCTGAACCTCTCGTTTGTTTAAGAGGGCGACAGGATGTATTTAGACCAAATGTATTTAGTACAAATTCAGAAAATTTAAAATTTTTTACTCCGAAATTCTAACTAGAAACCTCATGGGTTATTGTAAGTCACGTGGCCTCGCTAGAGCCAATAGTAACGCGGCAAGCAAGAACGAAGACAGCTGTCGATATGCGCTCTCTCTCACACTACAGCTTGTCTATAGCAGTACAGGCCCGTACCCATCCATTATTTGTTTGATCACCTGGCAGGTAGAAAGCCCTACCGAAATGATCTGTGTTGAGTTGGGTAATCTATTTTATCGGTATAATCTGTGTCATTGCATTTTCCCTCCATTACTGCTGTAAAATTTATACAAATTGTTTGTCTCTAAAAAGTTACGTTTAATAAATTCTATAAAACTATCCAAGTTATTATTTAAATACGACAAAGTGGGTGAACAAGCATATTTTGGTCCTTATCGAACCGGATTTGCAACAAACTCGAGTGTATTCAAATTGACTTGACTTCGGCAATATGAGCAAAATCACAGAACTTATCAATATTCTGGAGGAAAAAGCTGATCTGATATTAAAATGCACGACAAACATAAAAAAATGTCCGAAGACACGTATGACGAAGGGGTACGTAGAAACGAGGTTGAATACCATCGAAGATTACTGGCAAATATTTAAAGAAACACACGACACTCCTGTGAAGTCCCTCACCAAAGAAAAAAGATCGGATATATTATACTTTAAAGAGAATGTGTATAGCAATATTGAAGAGTTATATATGGATACAACATCAGGTTTAAAGGATACTTTGTCCAATTTCGTACAAACTGCAGGTACCCCCACACCAATTAAAGAGAGAGAGAGAGAGAGAGAGTATTCTTTATTGTACACCAAAAAAACAAATGAACAGTGCGATACATTAAAAACAAAAAGTACAATTGGCGGTCTTATCGCTAAAAGCGATCTCTTCCAGACAACCATCAGGTGGACAAGAATCATTTGGAAACGAACTACGCGCGGTGTACCATTCCAGTGAAATACATATACATATATGTNTGACGCGAGTACTTTCGCCTCTAGGTCCCAGGGCGGGGATCCGGCCAGGACGCAAGCCGCCTCGTAGGAAATCGTGCGGTACCCGCGGATGACTCTGACGGCCATCACCCTCTGCGGCTTACGCAGAATGGCGAGTGTGCTGGCCGTCATGTCCATCGCCCACACAGGGGCCCCATACAGGGCCATGGACCGCACGATTCCCACGAACCTAACATAACCTAATCTAACCTAGCATGGGGGAGAGAGCAAGCCGCACTCCTCGCTAGAGTCCTCCCCCCTCTCCTCATTGTTACAATTTTGATGGGAGGGAGGACTGTAGCAGGTATGAAAACCCCATCCCTAAGGGGGTGAGGAGTGGGGTCGAGCCCCTAATGGAAATGACGCTGCACCTACGGGGTGCAGCCGCGGTCCCCATACGGGGGACCCGCCAAACGGGCAAGAGGCGTGGAACTAGAGGCTGATGAAGCTCAGCTCCGAGAGGGGCGCTCATAGGTCCTCCCCGGCCTCACACCCGGCGAGGAGCTTTATTTCCGAACGATCGTCGGGGGTACCAATAGCTCCCGCGGCAACGCCGTACCATCCGGTGGTCTGGCGTGCAGCGGGGCTATGTTGTGGAGATGCTCATGGGGCCCGTTTTCGGCTCGCTCGTACATATTACGGGCGAGCCTAGTCACAAACTCCACGAGCGACTCCACACCTAGGTCCCGGGCGATAACGTCATTTCTGACGTACTGCCCGACCCCGACGATAGTACGGAGGGACAGACTCTGCTGGGCCTCCAACCTAGATTGCTGGGACGGCGACAACAGGTGATACCAGGCCTCAGCAGCGTATGTGAGGCGGGAACGGACATATGTCTTGTAAATGGCGAGTTTGGTCCTGGTCGGAAGCCCGGACGCAAGTACCGGCCGCAACAAGAACCTGGCCGCGCGAGTCTGACCGATGACTCGGTTGACGTGCGCGACCATGCTCAAGGAGCGGTCGATGTCGCATCCGAGATACCGGACCGTGGTCCTGAACTCGACATTCACACCTCTGAGACTGAGCTTCTTTGGGACGACTCTGATACGGACCGGACCGTAGAGTAAGGCCGCGGTCGTTCCCACATTGACCGCGGCTCTCCAACGGTCCAGCCACTGGGGCAGTAAATCCAAAAGCCTCTGCATCCTCATAATGGCTGCAGAGGGGAACGGAGAGGACGAGAAGTAGGCCGAGTCGTCAGCGAACAAGGCCAACTTCACTGAACTGAATTTTTCGGCGAGGTAGGCCCCTATTAATGGTCGCCCACGCGCGCTCGTCTAGTACTGTGATAAATTCAAGGCGCGGTGGGTGTCTATTGTTCTCTTGGCCGCCTCGCTCGCCCTATTGTTTGCCCAGTCGCTCTATTAGTACTCGCTCTATTGTGACTCGCTCCTGCGTTCCCACGCCAAATTAAAGACAACGAGGACCAATCTTTATTTACAAAATGAATATAACATTTACAAATTAACTTATTTCTATTTACATTTAACATTCTCTATTCCTATTTATTTTCCCTGTCCTTTGCGAGCATATTTCTATATTTAGCGTACTATCTATTTATTCTCTTTTTTATGCTAACTTATTTTTAACATAACTATTTATTTGGATGTTCTTTAATTTATTCATCACGGACATTCTCTATTTATTTACTTATTCTAAAACTATTTTAACGTATCTATTCTATTTCTGATTTTTCTAAATGTCCGTCGGGAATAACTGTGATTTTTATGTTCGTCGCGAACAATATCTATTCTAACTTATATTTATTTATGTCCGTCGCGAACATTATTTACCCTAATATTCCAAACGGAACAAAAAACATTTTTATTTATTTATTGACATTTTAATTTTAAAAATTAATAATTTGACTATAAATTCATAATTCACAACACATGACCTCGCGCTCGTAACACTGGACAAGTGTGCATGTTGGGCACTCTGGATCCAAACCAACCTATAGGTGAAGGTAGTTTTTTTTTCGAAAGTAGTCCTAAGGTAGTTTTTTTACCGAATTTATTCCGACATTGTTGTTGTTTTAATTTTATTTTTTATTCTACGTGAAGTGTTATATTCAGTTTAATATGGATGTAATATCTGAAGTACCTAAATGAAATAAATAAATAATTGACATCAGAAAACAAAAAAAAACAATTTTAAATAAAATTAATTTTATTACGTAACAAAACTTTTAAACAGGTTTTCTGCTAAAATAATCTGTTATTTTCCTATTGACTCTGGCCTTCAATTCCGAAGTCGCATCTGCGGGTCGCTTGGGCAGATCGCCGTCGCAACTCGCGTTCTGTTCCAGAGGCGACTCTTGGGGCATAGACAAGCTCGTCAGCCCGTCTTCCTCATCCAGCTTCTGCATCTCGTCAAACAACTTTGACGTACAGTTTGACAGCTGCGAGTGACAGCCAGTGTTGTCACTCGGATCGCTCTTATCGATTTTAATCTCGATTAAACTTTCGTCAGTCGAGAATAGGTCCGGTGAATCGGTCGATGTAAACTCTTTGAGTAATTCCGTCTGTAGGGAGTCGGACAGTTCCATTGTCGACGTGCCCGGTGTTGAGTCCTGAAAACGAAATTTCAGTGAGTTTTAGAAAAAAAATCTTTTCACGCCTGGCTGTGAGCGTCCTGAATGTCTATAAACACATATTCTGAGACGCGAGTTGAGTGCCACCTGGTTTTGAATATGTTAATGATAGTCACCAGGACAAACAATCTTCCCTGCATTTGATAACAGTAAAAAAAATTTCAACGCAATTTGACTAATAACCCATCTACCAAAAAAACAAAGCCAGAACTTTTAACAAAACCTTCTAACTAAAATATCAGATGTTAATTTGCCTCATAATAGTCTAAATATACTTAGATATATACACACACACAAGAATATTATTTAGATAATATTCTTAAAATCAATATTTATAAAGTAAAATTTTAATTATCATTGTTATTTAGTTATATGAGGGTGGAATCTGTCCCGGAAATGACAGGGGACAAAAAGTCGATAATTATGTTACAACCAAGACGGCCTCGTGTGGGGTTAGATTGGGGGGGGCTCTCCCGTCCCCGCCGCCAGCACTAGGTACTCACGGTCTCCATGCGCTCGTGCTGAGTTCCCCTGAGCTTATCCACCTCCCCGTCTCTCAACACCTGATGCAAAAAATCGTAAAGGTCCGACCTGAGTACATTCGTTTTTGAGAAACGAACAATGAGTCGGTACAGCTGACCTGGAAATATATAATAGTAAAGATTATGTTTAACTATAACTTTGATTATTGATTTCATTGAAAAAAGAACTCTATCCTTGTATAACTAAAAACCAAATTTGTTCAGCAAGCTTTGTGATTTAGTTAGTATTGTTATTTATTATAAAAATGTACTAGAACATAATAATTATAAACAAATTTATTGGTTTACATCGACATATTCTGTAACAACATCATTTGTATGTTTGGAAGAATTTCGCCTTTTTTTTTTTGATATTTTTGCTATAACTGAAATCTGAAATCTTATGTTATCAGTTCATTGCTTATGATGAGAAATAAAGATAGTGATAGCTCACCGCGAACTCTTCTTACAATGAAACGTAAATATTGATAAAAAAATTAAAACTTTTCCTTTACTGGTGGTAGGACCTCTTGTGAGTCTGCACGGGTAGGTACCACCACCCTGCCTATTTCTGCCGTGAAGCAGTAATGCGTTTCGATTTGAAGGGTGGGGCAGCCGCTGTAATTATATTGAAACCTTAGAATTCATATCTCAAGGTGGGTTGCGGCATTGGCGTTGTAGATGTCTATGGACCCCAGTAACCACTTAACACCACATGGGCTGTGAGCTCGTCCACCTATAAAAGCAATAAAAATAAAAAGTAACTGTAGTGAAATGTAGGACACAGAAATTCTGGAGTCTAAAATGACAGAGTTTTGGAACGAAATTCCTTATGGGACGATGCGGAGGGGTACCCTAACCGAGAAAAAACGTCCATAACGTAAGATTTTTATTAGTAATGCACACGGTGTACGACTTAACTATCCTCCAGTTTTATTTTCTTTATACCTCGAATAGAACTTAAAATTAATATTTCTATAATAAGGAACTTCGTTCCTATCCGGTGTCCCACGACACCACATCTTTTTGTATCATAATAATTTATAATAGGAGTACTAGACTGCTGGTTTGGAATAAAGCTGGAACCACAACCTAGACATTCTTTAGGGAGCCACACACTTTGAGACACGAGGTGGGAATCTCCTTCCAACCTTCCAACCGGAACCTATGGCTGGGTTCTGCCCTCCCACCGCGTGCAATAAAGCTTGGAGTAGAACAGCGAGTCTCACCGACGGTGACGCCACACTTGGCCAGCGCGTTGTACACGTCTACGATGTGGTCCCTGAGCTCCGCGTCGCCGAACGTAAAGTAAGCGAGGGGCCGCCCGGCCTGCGCGGCCGCCATCGCCTGCAGGAGACCCTTGAGCCGCGGGGAGCCCCCGAAGGCGCCGCAGCCCCAGTTGCCGGTCGCCACGCCCGGGTACTGCAGCGTACTGGACTCTGGGTCCGCGTGAAACGTAAAACCTATCCAGGCCTGTCGGATTCAAAGTATAATCCAAATTAAGATAAATATTAAAAACTAGCTGACCCGGCAGACTTCGTAGTGCCTCAATCGATAAATAAAAGACCTAAACTTTTGTATACTTTTGTCTGACGGGGGACACAAACCAAAGGAAAAACAAAATTGCTATTTTTATTTAATTCTGAGTATTTTCATATTTATCTACACTTTTAAACCTTCTTTGGACTTTCACAAATAATTCAAAACCAAAATTAGCCAAATCGGTCCAGCTGTTCTCCAGTTTTAGCGAGCTAACGATCAGCAATTCATTTTTATATATATAAATAGATAAATAAATAAATAGATAAATAAATAAATAGATAAAGTAACTTAGCTAGGGTAGGTAAGATCCCTTTTCTTTTCGTGCCGTATAGCAATCACAGAGTCCGATTTGAAGGGTGGGACCACCGATACACTGTACAACTGAATACCAGGGCCCTAAAACTGCGATACTTTAACACAAAAAAAAATGTATGGAAACTAGTGACATCTTGTAGCAGATGCCCCTAAAGTTATATGTTGTTAAAGTTAAGGCATTTAATTATTGTACAACTAAACACGTACAATTAAAAATTAATAAATCATACAAGTCTTTATTTGTTATAGACAAATTGATTAAATCTTATCAATTTGTGGTTTCTGAAAATTTACAAAATCCTTCATTAAAATAAAATATAGGATAGGTAATATGTTACTGTCATCTACAGGAGCAATGAGAAACTAATCGAATTGAAGCCATCTAGTGGCCGACGCCCGTAAATATTTTTGTTCAGCGCTTGAGTTGTTTATCTATAACTAATTTATGTGCATGATCTATGCTGAATACTCCTTTCGCTGGTCGTGAACCGTAGACATCACTACAACTACTCTTACTACATATTTAATCTCGTGTTTTTGAAGTTATACTTCTTTAGGCGCGTTATGAAAAATTGATGAGAGTGAAATTTTACGATGCGCGCGCACCGTGACACACAATTAACAGAATGAAGTTGCCCACTAAATCGCTCATTACAATACGACCGACGTAACTTGGCGAGTCTGAATATAGGCGCAGGTGAACTTTCCGAACCGTACCGAGAATTACCGAATTTATACGATGTCAAGAAAAGGGATATCCAATATGCGTGTTTAAGGATATTGTTTAATCGTTTTTTTTTTTTCAAATTGATTAAAATTTAAATAAAAAACAAAGAAATAAATTTAATAAAAATAAACTATAACTTCTTACGCGCGTACAAAAGTACACGCGCCCTTTTTTACTGCCTCCGTATTGTTTCCAACGTGTCCAATAATTCAATTTTCGCGGTCGCGGAACGCAGACATGGAACTTTTTTTTAATCAAGACGAAATTATAATAATTTATCTCTGCACCACCCTATGGTCGACTGGAAGAGAATGCCCATGGCATTAAGTCCGCCTGTGTACAAGTTTTGTTTTGTGCATAAAGTATAAATAAAATAAAATAAATAATTTAAAATAAAATAAATAAAATAAAATAAATAAATTAAATAAACAAATAAATAAATAAACCAAGATTAGTTTTCAAAATACACTCTTCATCACCATAATTCTCCTGCCCTTCTCCCAGTCACCTGGAGTCGGCGCAACGTCTTTTCTCCTTCCATAATCCTCTATCATATACCATTTCTTCGCTCACTCCCCTCTTACCCATATCGTCTTTCACGCAATCCATCCATTTCTTCTTAGGTCTACCTCTTCCTCTATATCCTTTCACATTCATAGTTAAAACTCACTTAACAACTTCATTATCATTTCATCTCATGACATACCATCTCAAACGCGCATTTCTCAACTTCCTGTCACAGGAGCCACTTTCGGACTTCCTCTGACATATTTCAAATACACTCTTATTGAAGACAATTGAACACTAAGCATACCGTAACGGGTCAAATAACCCACTTTGAAAATACACATATCATTTGCTTTTGCACATTTTACTTCATGACTTTTGCTTACCGATTAATCTACAGTTATTGTAAAAAAAAATATTATTTTGATATTTTATTTTGAGTAATACTTTTCGTATACCGTTATCTAACCCCTATGATAGAAATAGGTACCAGTAAGGTGTTGATATGAATAGTGTTAATTAAGTCGATTTCGTCTTACAAGGACTTAACAGCAGACGAGATGACGTGTTAGCCCTGAGTTTCTCGCCGGATCTTCTCAGTGGGTCGCGTTTCCGATCCGGTGGTAGATTCTGCGAAGCACTGCTCTTGCTAGGGTCAGTGTTAGCAACACTCCGGTTTGAGCCCCGTGAGCTCACCTACACAAGTTAAGTAGGGCGAAGCTGAAATAGCCTCTTAAGGCTATCAGCATAGATAGGAAAAAAAAAACAAAAAAAAAATATGTGAGCTCGCTCGCAATGTATATCTCACCTTATTAAGTTCCCTGGTCAACATTTCCTCCCTGTACTCCTGGACGGTGCTGGGGTAGGGCAGCGCGTCTATGGCCAGCACGGCGCAGCGCCGCCGCCCGGACGAGTCCAGGGGCGTCTCGTCCCGGTAGTCCCCGGCCCACTGGAACGTGCTCGCGTAGCCCGTGTACCTGCTGTACCTTTCACAGCCTGGACAAAGTTATTGCGGCTTCAATGTCATGAGGACCTTTGGCGGGAACGCGAGGAGTGACGTTTTGTGATTTGTTTTATTTTGTTGTTAACGGTGATTTATTAACTGTTTAGTATCTTGGAAAGTGCACAAATGTGGGAAAATGAAATAAAGCCGCTAAACGTAACTTCTCCGGATCCTCCAAAAAGTCCACTGAAAGTCTCAATAAATGACCACCATTTTACTGAGATTATATTTTATCCCATATCATCTAATCTTATTTCATTTTATTTCATTTCATAATATCATTTTCACATAAAAGAGTTTTCATTAAAATTAAAATAAGACTTGACCTAAAGGTCGTAGTTACCAGGTCAGAAAAGTCCCTTAAGAAGAAAACAATCTCATGAGTGACACACAGCGCTCTACTCTTAGCTGTACTTACGTTATATTACAGTTATTCAGTTGAACAGAGTGGAATTTACAAAAATTTGACAAAGGCCAGTTAACTTGAGTACACCTGTCAAGCACCGATGACAAGTAGTAGACATTTTTTTGTTTTAAACCAATTTTATTTTGTTACGATTACGGTAGCACTGTTTATAGACCAACCTCCTCTTCGAAATTATCAAAACGGCACGTGTGATACACATATTAATTTGTTTTAATAAATAAATACAGAATGAAGTTTTATATCCAAATGTCCTGATCACACACACATATTAAATACCTTTACATCTATATTTTTGTTAGCAGTTATGCGTTCCAATGTGAACGTTTTGGGGCAGTTACACAATACTATTGAAACTTCGACCACCAGTCTCCAGGTTGCGGTCGCGTTGTGGTGGGTCCCATGACCACCAGATGCTAAGAGATGGCAAGTTCTCGAGCACCCCGTATATCGGCTGGCACTTACCAACAATTAACAATGCTTCATTGGGCCTCAGCACTTCCGTGAACAGCATCGACACCATCAGCTCTGGACATATCACGAATCTTATCTCTTCTTGCACGCAACCATAGTTCAATACACCACCACCTAAGTACCTGAATGAAGTATAATCTGTTCAATATTATAGTTTAACCGTTCCCAAAAGGGGTCCAAGAATACATTGGGTGGTCTGTTAGATACATTTAAAAAAGAAAAAAAAGTTTAAAGAATTTAATAATAGTAGGAAACAGCGGAACTTTAATCTACAAAAGTCTATTTTAGACAAGAGAAAAATCATACTTGTTAGCGAAGTCGACCTGTATGAGTCCGTGAGCATCCTCTATAGTGGTGTCGGAGTCTACGTGCAGTGGGAGGGACGACAGCGGAGACCCACTGGAGCCCCACGCGGGGCAGCCCCGCGGCGGCACGCTGCGCCGGGTCCAAGTCACTACGCCGCCCGGGACTGTACTGCAACGTACTCGACTTGATCACAAACGCAAACGGTCTTTTCATTTTTATTGCTTTGATGGGTGCACGAGCTCACAGCCCACCTGGTGTTAAGTGGTTACTGGAGCCCATAGACATCTACAATGTAAATACCGCCACCCACCTTGAGATATCTCAGTATAATTACAACGGGCTGCCCCACCGTTCAAAACCGAAACGCCTTACTGCTTCCCAGCAGAAATAGGCAGAGTGGTGGTACCTACCCTTGCGAGCTCACAAGAGGTCTTACCACCAGTCAAAACTTCATGCCATGTAAATCTCATAACCAATTCTAAAATTAGGATCCTTCTTAAAATTCACACCTCCTCTCACAAAAGGTCCTACCACCAGTAAAACTGCCACAGTACCGGATAAACGAAGTGTTATTAATATAAGCGGAAAATGTTTATTTACTGGTCTAAACAAAGGTATTCACAGCTATAGTTAGTTCAGATTTTGTGAGCCTGCAATGTCAATCAAAGACAGCTGACGCTAATAATTCTCCATATCATGTTATAGAGAAAACGATGTTGTTGTAAAACAAACATTTTAATTATGTATAAAATGGCATATCACCTTTAGTGCACACTCTTCGAAAGTAGTGACACAAACATTTTAACTTTTCTAACACTGATTCAGAACCATCTGTCTCGTACAATCTGAAATATCAAATTCCTATGTATATTTTTCTAATAATAATCAAAAGGAGTGCAAATACATGTACAAAAAAATTAACAAAAAAGTTTCTATTTTTTACATTAGTAGAAATTTAATTACATACAAAATTTGTTTAAATGGCAATTCTAAGATAATAACAATTATAAAAATAATTATTTTTAAAACTAAACTTACGTATAAAAATTGATGTGTGGATAAGATGAGTATTCAGATGATTTCTTTTTTGTATTCCGTCGTGGAAAAGTACAGAAAAAAGCATTCGCAAGGATACTTGCTATTTGTTGTTGTGACAACGATATAGAATAGTTCTTGTGTTGTCTGAAAAATTTCAGAAGGAATTCAAATGAATTTTAAGATATGTACTTCTTTGGAAGGAAATATATTTATTTCATTTAACAAATAGCATTTTATACAAATTAAAAAATTTGCTGTATTATATATGTGCATACATAAATATTTTATTATTATATCCACAACATATCTTACTTCAGTAGTGGTATGGGTGACTGAATCAATTTTGGCAATGCCAACGCTAACTTCGCTATCTCAGGTAATGTAACATCAAAGAAGTATTGTGTTTCTTCTTCATCTAGATACTGTAACAGTTTTACATTAAATGATTTTTTACATATCATAATGTTAGAATCAATAGCATGCAACCTGAAATGTTTTTAATTTTACTAAGTATATACATATATTATTTAATAAGCTTTCATGGTTTTTTACATTAATTTTCTTATATTTATTTTTTTATTCATTTTACTCTTCAGTCTTTCTTTCTAGCTATTCTAGTGACCCAAAAGGGTCATGCTAGATTCACCGTGCGAGATAATTCTCTGAGTCAAGCTAATTGCCTTACATAAAAAGTACTTTATTAAGTATTCAAAAGTTACATTACTGATTTTACTGTACTTCTACCACTTCTTCAAAATCTAGCTTCAAAGATTCTGTGTAGGTCATAATTAATATATACAATCAGTGTTTATGTATCTATATTGACCTAGTTTGAAATAATATATTGTTTGTTTACAATAATTAAAAATTGATTCACTTACTTCACTGAACAATTTGTGTAAGGCTTTGAATTTCCATATTTTCTTAAACTTTGTATTGTAGCTGAGTATAGTGTTAGCCAGTTCCCGACTGTCCCTGATAGGTTTCCAGAGACTACTCTCTATAACCTCCCATCTCTTTTTCAAGTGGCAATCACCGTTGCTCTAAAATGAAACCAAATTATTTTGGAATAATCGATGAAATGTAAAAATAAATTTTTCGTATTCATATTATAATGAAAAGTCTATCTTTTTTAATAAAAATATGAAGCAAACTGAATGACTTTTAAGATAAAAATACATACTATGCAGTTTATAAATTTTACATAAATTATTAAAAGAAATATTTAATTGAAAACAGTTGCATACATAATTGTAACTTTTTATTCTTATTTATTATTAGAACTAATTACAATTCAAATTGAATTGTAATAAAACTTGGAAACTCAAGATGTGTAGATGTACTATAATAAGTAGGGGCTTGTTGACATTTATTTATTTATAAAAGTGTTATTATTTATTTATTTGGAGCTCTTACTTTTATATTGTGCTAAAGCTTGAAGTTGCAATGTTATTGGACCGCACAATATTCTATCAAGGAGTATTTATAGTCGTTCATAGCTTACTTTGGGTTATTACATACTTTTCTGTTCTGCTGTCAACTAATAATACCAAAACTAACCCTTGCTGTGCTAGCAACCACTTCAACAAACAAAACAAAGAAAATGTACTCACATCTTCAAATGGATAAAGGCTCTGATTTGAACACGGCATCCTTACAAACTCATGATCCCACTTATCACGTCCTATCTGCGGTTTTGGCGGTCTGTCTCCATCAATCGGTCTACCGTTCTGCACGTGATACAAAACGGAATGATTGTATGCTGGCACCACTAACGGAAATTCTGGAGCACCCCACGGCGATTGGGAACCGCGTATTTCGCTAATGGGTACTCCGAGCCAGCTTTTAGTTACTGTACTCATGGTAGTACACAATTTTATTACCTTTTTTGATAACGTAATTTTAAAATTATAGAAAGTAATTTTAAATCTAGAACTTTTAAACGTTTACTTAGTTGTGGACCGGCACGTATTGTATCAAAAAAAACTATTGAAATAATTTGAGAGTTTTTATTTCTAAAATTTTAATAAATAAACAGGTACCATGACATGGGGTAAATTGGGATCCTGGGGTAAATTGGGACAAACCTGCGGAAGATTCTCAAAGTACCTGTAGCACGGAATCTACCTAATTTTGTTTATGTTAATATTTATCAATGTATAGAAGAAAAACCAAGTTAACTATGGAAGTACTAAATATGAGTTAAGTTGGTCCCAAAAATTCGTCAAATTAAATTGAAAATAGTGGTTGAAAAGTGAGTTTTAAAACAGCTTAAAGAACTTTTTAAAAAGTAATATTATCGTTGTTTTTTCAATAAGATCACAGTTTATATAAGTTTTTAATACACCTGGAAATACCACAACAAACGGTAAGTTGCAATATTCTTATTTTAAATACAATATTTTGACAAAATAAAAAATGTATATTTTTTCCTTTCTTTTTGGGGAAAATTGGGACGTATGTGGGGTAATTTGGAACGAGACTGGAAAAATTAGGGACGAGAAAACACAAAATTGGAACGCGAAAAGACAAAATAGGGATGGCTTGTTAGGGCTGTCACTGATATCTTATAATAGATTTTTTAGCCTATACTATCACTCAATTGCGTGATGTAAAGAAGGTTAATGTGTTTATCAGTTAGTTTATGTAAGTACTATAGGTAAAAGAAAAGTATATATATAATTACATTTTTTCGCGACATTTACCTTGTAATATTTGCCCGGTCGTATGTCCTTTATAGCAATAAAATAAAATTAAAAAGAACTCAAACAAATCAAAACTTTTGTTATTTCAGAATCTATTCACGCATCGAATCATGATTTTTTTTAACATTCACAGCGCACAGACAAATAAAAACAGGCCTCAGATTTTAAATGTAACATTAATTAAAATCCGAGATATCTAGGTTCCAATTATGAGTGAGTGAATTAATTGAGTTTAGTTATTTAGCTTAGAAAGAATTACTTTTATTTTTGTTATTATAGGCAGTAATCAGATAAATCTGCTTTTTTATCTTATTCACCTGATATCTTACTCTTGCTCAAAGATTATTTTGAAAATGTTGATTAAATAAAATTGTATTATTGCATTTCTATTTTTTATTCTATTTTATGATTTTGTTTCAGAGTTGTGATTTTTAAGGAAATTAAATAATAATTTTCTAAAATATAACATGCACATACTTTTTTTGATCATTTTATTGTTGATTATCATTCACGTCACATCGCTTCGGAATAGAAACCAGCTTAATTTACATTATGTTGTGTATTGTGCTTAAATTATGGATTGTATTCATCATTTCGGTCCATATAAATAATTGTATGGCATCTACCTACCTACCTATTATATATCGCAGTACTGCGAGATGACAACCCTTACAAATATCCCAATTTAACCCTCACCCGTGTCAATTTACCGCGGACGCGGGGTAAATTGGGACGGCCATTGTTTTACCGATTATTTCTTTAAAATGAATAATAAAATAATGTAACGGTTTTTATCACCTAGGTACGTTCAAGACTCAACTTATTTCTTTGGTTGAGCAGTGACTATCTAATTGGAACTATTTTAAAATTCAATCTGAAGGTCGGTTTTGTCCCTATTTACCCCATTTTACGGTAAGTATAGTCTTTTTCAAAGGATTTTATGACCTGGTAACTAAGACCTTTAGGTCAAGTCGTATTTTATTGGGGTTGGCCGGTTAAAGCTTTCCTCAGATATCGCCAGCGTAGCTGGTTCCCTTGTCACAGAAAGCTGCCATTTTGTGTATATATTTTGCGTTGTGAAATTTTGGTACTTTGTGACTTAGATACGGTTCTTAATACTTTTAAGCAGTTTTAAACAGTTTTACAACATGTATTCCAACTTGATAGTTAAAGAATTAAAGGAGGAGTTGAAAAAACATAGTGCATCTTTACGAGGAAAAAAAGCGGATCTTGTCGAAAGGTACAATGCTTATGTTTAATTTTAACTTAAAAACTTCTCTCAAACTATTTCCATATATTTTACAGTTTCCATCTTGCTGCATCTCCTGATGGTATGTTGGGCGAAGAAACTATAATCAAAGTGAAATGTCCATACGCTAGCAGAAAACATGAAATTAATATAACAACGGTGCCTTACCCGGAAAAATGCAACAGGATATTGTCTCTAAAAAAAACCTAGCCATATTATTATCAAATCCAAGGACAGTTATACTCCTCAGGCAGAACATACTGCAACTTGGTCATCTACAGCTACAAGGATAATTTTACAAATAATATTTCAAGGATACCTTATATGACAATATTTTCAAATAAGCATTGTATGAAAAATATCTGTACTATAACTGTGCACACTTCTCGAAATAAAAAATCAATAATATTTCAATTGTCTTTAGTGACAATTCCTTCTCTAAAATTACATAACATTACACATATGAAAAATATTTTAAATGCTAGAGGTACGTCGTTTTCGTGCCCTAAAGGATAAGACGTCCGATGCATTCGTGTGTAGCGATGCACCGGTGTTCGAATCCCGCAGGCGGGTACCAATTTTTCTAATGAAATACGTACTCAAAAAATGTTCACGATTGACTTCCACTGTGAAGGAATAACATCGTGTAATAAAAATCAAACCCGCAAAATTATAATTTGCGTAATCACTGGTGGTAGGACCTCTTGGGAGTCCGCGCGGTTAGGTACCACCACCCCGCCCATTTCTACCGTGAAGCAGTAATGCGTTTCGGTTCGAAGGGTGGGGTAGCCGTTGTAACTATACTGAGACCTTAGAACTTATATCTCAAGGTGGGTGGCGCATTTACGTTGTAGATGTCTATGGGCTCCAGTAACTACTTAACACCAGGTGGGCTGTGAGCTCGTCCACCTATCTAGGCAATAAAAAATAAAAAAAAACACTTAGAGAGTGTATAATCTATGTACTACTGTATAATACTTGTATATGTGGGACTTTTTGGCGGGAACGCGAGGAGTGAAGTTGTGTGATTTGTTTTATTTTGTTTATTTAGTGTTTCTTCGGGTTTAAATGTGTAATAATGGTGGTTTATTAACTGTTTAATATCTGTGAAAGTGCACAAATGTGGGAAAATGAAACAAAGCCGCTGGACGTAACTTCTCGGGATCCTCCAAAAAGTCCATTGAAATAATCTTAGTAAATGACCACCATTTTACTGAGATTATATTTCATCCCATATCATCTCATTTCATTTCATCCCACTTGATTAATGTCTCAAATTAATTATCTTCATTTCATTTCACTCCATAATATCATTTTTCATAAAAATATGAATATATGTAAATTAAAATAAGACATGACTTAAAGGTCTCAGTTACCAGGTCATAAAATCCCTTAAAAAAAACCTTGTAAATGTTGGCCTAAAGGTCTGGCCATAATCTCAAAAAAAAAAAACGGTATATCTATGTAATTATTGTAAATCTAAGTATGTATACGATACGCGATGCCATAAAATATTTACGCGAAATTTCGAGGCTTATTGTTTTCAACATGCTGAAATCCCTCTAAAGTATTTTATTGGAAATTAAAACTTGGGTTATTTCTAATTTTTTTGCAGACACAATGAATTTAGAGTTACTGGGTGAGCATAACATTTTTTTTGAGGTTCACTAGAGATAAATCTATGTTAGTAAACAAACCAAATTTATTGTTTTTCAGAATCGTTTGGACAAAATTATCCTGAGGTAAGTAATGGCTATATTTTTTTATCTCATCCCACCTTGTATTTCATAAACATAGTAAAGCTGTACAATTATACACATAATTGGAAATTAAAACTATTCACTCGGCACTATTAACAATTTCATTTTATGGAAGAAAACGGTTTGCCTCAGCTTTTTACTTTCTAGTGCCGACAGACGCATGTTGCTTTCTGGCTAGAGTAGCAGTACTGCTCAGAGGCGTATTCAAGCTCTCGGCTCACTTGGTGTTACGTGGTTACTGGAGTCCATAGACATCCACAACGTAAATGCCTTATGATAAAGTTTGCCTCACCATTTGAACTGAAATGTATTACTGCTTCACAGTAGAAGTAGACTGGTATGAGTAAAGTGTGAGGCAGGTGTCAGAGCATAGTATAACATAAATACACAACCTTCAAGTTTATCCTGAAAATTTATACAATACCGAAAATATAACAATACCAGACATAATGCAAAAACATGTAAAACAACTAACAATAGCAAAATCTATTTGTTCAGTTTAATGTTGTGTGTTTATAAGCGTTAACCCTTAGCGATGAGATGGTGCAAAGCTGAAAAATAGACTAGAAAATTTGCAAGTTGCACTGTGGTGTCTATGATGATAATTAAGACTTTCCATCAGGTGAACAGCCAAAACAATGATTATTACAAATGAAAATCATTTCAGGAATTCGATGGTACCCTTGACTCAATTTCACTGGCTTCAACTTGCGCATTCAACAGACGAGGTACATTGCTGGCTGTAGGCTGCAATGATGGTAGGATTTTTATCTGGGATTTCCTGACTCGGGGCATTGCAAAGTCAATATCAGCTCATGTGTACCCTGTATGCAGCTTAAGTTGGTCAAGGAATTGTAAAAAGGTAACTAACTAATTCAATAGAGATGCTACAAAACTGAAATCTTGTGAATTGTCTATCTATGTATAGCTCTTTTCCATCTTTTCCCATGGATGTCGGAAAGGCGGCTATGGAATTTATTGGACAATGGGCAATTGCATTCTGTGGTTGCCAACTGACCTTTACCTTATGCATTTTGTTAAATTACGCTCCCTTATGTTACATATATCTTTTCTAGCTATTATCAGCATCAACAGATCATAATGTATGCATATGGGATGTACTGTCTGGTGAGTGTGAACAGAGGTACAGATTCCCTACTTCAATATTACGTGTGCAATTTGATCCGAGGAATGACAAGAGATTTCTCGTGTGTCCCATGAGACATGCAGCCTTACTGGTCGATACTGATGGTGATCATAAAATACTTCCTATAGACGAAGATGTAAGTAGTTGAATATTCTAGTTGCATAGTGAGACCAAGCCATGTAGCATTCAATATATGGCATAGATTATATACTAGTATACCACAGATTATATAGTCTGTTCTAGTGGTAGGAAGCAGGGGGATTACTTGTTACTGATTATATATTAATTAATTCTTACATTATTTAGGCATATCACAATGGAAATACTACCTAACCATTATTTTTAGGTTTTGTTTGTTGATTAAATTAGTCTCATTACCAGAATTCAAAAGTTTTAACTTCATTTCCGTATGGTTAATATTTTAGTTTTTATTAGATTCTGAATAATATAAGTTTAGTAGCAAATTTAGCAAACATTATCATCATCAGCCCATCTTCCACTGCTGGATGTGCAAGTTAAACCACTGGGCCTGCTCTTTGGCTCTCCAGATCCATTCTTGCCAGTCACACTTCACACCACATAGCCTCCACTCACTCCTGTCTGCTCCAGTGATTGTTGGTGCTACAGCATTTAGCATCTAGCCAATAAAATTATTAGTTACCAGTTAGCTACAGTTACAACTGCTATATTCAGATTCTTTGAGTGATTCTTTATTTAAGATTGAATAATGGTGATTCGTAATATGGCATATTGAAAAATTAACTCCACTTGTCTGATTTTTTGTCTGAAATAAATAATTTTCAGTGATTGCAATCTTATTTTACATATAAAATAACTATTTAATTTCTATTTCACAAATTATCGTATAAATTAATTTGACACATATTTCAGGGAGATGTAAATGTAATGGCTTCCTTCAACAGAAGAGGAGACTATGTTTATACAGGGAATGCCAAAGGAAAAATACTGATACTTGACTCGCAGACGTTGGCCGTAAAAGCCAGTTTTAAAATAACTGTAGGCACATCCAGTACAACTAGTATCAAGAGCATCGAATTTGCTAGAAGGGGAGAGTAAGTATCATATCATCCTAAAAAAGAGTACTGACTTGAGACATAAACCAATCCAACAAAAAAAAAAAACAGATTGCACTTCTATTTGCATAATTACTTACTACTATTTTACCATTACTACTACCGTAACCCACAAATAGGCAAGTGGATCTGCTTATTTGTTCTGAAAAGTACAAATAAACAGAATTAAAACCCCAACCTTTGTGGTTCATAATAGGCTCTAGTTTTCAGCTACAGTTTTCACTAATGCATACCATTCGCTATACACATTTCATTACATTGTAAGATGTGTATTATCTTACACTGGATCGCTTCTCACTTCATAGCGCTTATTTACATGACATATTCATAATTATTTACGTTTTTATACCAATAGTTTTAGACAATTAAAACGTTTCAGTTGTTTCCTAGTGAACACGTCGGACCGCGTCATCCGGGTGTACGACACCAACACGGTGCTCCAGTGCGGGGTCAACGGTGAACCCGAACCCATACAGAAACTCCAGGACCTCATCAACAAGTGAGTGCTGTGGGCTGTTTACGTTATCTAGGAGCAAGGAACGTGCCACGTCCAGCCTCTCTAAGTCAGGACCTCCTCTTGTGATGTCAGGAATAACCAGAACAGGGATTCCCAGTGGTCGATATTGAAGACAACTGATTTTGGAAATATTCGTAATGTTATTCCTCTATGAAAGGTTTATATGTATGAACGAATTTAAGTTTTTTTTTTACTTAGTGCCCGTTATTGCCCGTGTAGGCAGATGCGCATACGGCCCACCTGATAGTGAGCGGTTACCGTCGCCCATGGACTTCGGCAATGCTAGGGGCGGAGCGAAGCTGCTGCCTACCGTTAAGTTTACGTGAACTTTTTGTTCCAGAACAACGTGGAAGAAATGTTGTTTCTCCGGCGACGGCGAGTACATCTGCGCCGGGTCCGCGCGACAGCACGCGCTCTACATCTGGGAGAAGTCGATAGGGAACCTCGTCAAGATCCTGCACGGAACCAAGGGGGAGCTCCTGCTGGACGTCGTGTGGCACCCCATCCGCCCCATCATCGCCAGCATCAGCGCCGGTGAGCGAGCTAATACAAGCTTAAGCTGGCACAAACTTATTGTAATTTTGTAAACGTAGAAAAGATAGAAGCGGTCGTCCAGTGGTCGAAATTCTTGCTCACCTGGTGTTAAGTGGTTACCGGAGCCCATAGACATCTACAACGTAAATGCGCCACCCGCCTTGAGATATAAGTTCTAAAGTCTCAGTATAGTTACAACGGCTGCCCCACCCTTCAAACCGAAACGCATTACTGCTTCACAGCAGAAATAGGCAGGGTGGTGGTACCTATCCTTGCAGACTCACAAGAGGCTCTACCACCAGTAAAATAATACTGTAAGCTTAGTTTGTGTGGTATATGTACGTGAGGTTTGTCGTCGTCCAGGTGTGGTATCGATATGGGCACAGAACCAAGTCGAGAACTGGTCAGCGTTCGCTCCCGACTTCAAGGAGCTGGACGAGAACGTGGAGTACGAGGAGCGAGAGAGCGAGTTCGACGTGGAGGACGAGGACCGCTCTGTGGACCAGGCCGGGGACACCAGGGACGACGAGGAAGTCGAGGTACTCGAACTTGCCATTATCCCACTATTATCCCCTTGTAGGCAGCGGCTTGGCTCCGCCCCTGGCATTGCTGAAGTCCATGGGCGACGGCAACCACTCACCATCAATCAGGTGGGCCGTATGCTACAAGGGCAATAAAAAAAAACTTATTTCTGAAAGTGTGTGGTGCATTTACGTTGTAGATGTCTATGGGCTCCAGTAACCACTTAGCACCAGGTGGGCTGTGAGCTCGTCTATGTGGTCGCGTTCCTCAGCGGTGAGGGAGCGATGAAGAAGAAGAATTGTTTTAGTGCGGTCGTTAATATTATTCTTTTGAAATCAAACGAATTTCTGGGGTAGTTTTTTTAATTTCAATAAACCATGTTCCATATACAATGGATGATGTTATGCTTCACATGAAGTGTTTATAGCATATTAAACTCGTTAAAAGCGTAAAAACTTCAGTTGAACAGTGCTTTCAAACGCCAACAAGCTTATTTTATTTTCCGTTCATTGTGGATTAGATCGCTTAAACTAAAAAAAAATCGCAGGTAGACGTGACTTCGTGCGAAGCGGTGGCGGCCTTCTGCAGCTCCGACGAGGAGGGCGAGGACGAGAACGTGCTGCTGTTCCTGCCCACCGCCCCCGAGATCGAGGACCCCGAGGTACGCGCCGCCCTCTGTGCATGTGACATAGTCAAGTGTTTGTTCAAAGTAATGCCCTGTGACGACCACTCGGCTACACAAGTGCGAAACGAATTTATTTATTTAAATATTATTATTTTTTTCCTACCTAAGCTGATGGTCTAGGGCATTGCCCACTTTGAGAATAAATTATTTTGCAGCGCACCCATTTTTTCACCTACTTAAAAACCTCAGTCTCGTCGGTGTGGAAGAGACCCCCCTTTTTTCTGGGTCTCTTACCGCCCTCTTTAGGCCTGCAACGCCCACAAGGGGGCGTTATCGCCCACCTCGAGAAAGGTTGATCTAGAGCAGTGATTCTTAACCTTTTTTTTGTTGCGGCACATATTTAACGATTTCAAAATTTGGCGGCACACAAAAAAAAAGATAAAAATTATTTACTTACTACAACACACTGCATAAATAGTTTATCAAAAAATTTGAATATACGAAATAAACTAAAATATACTATACATTTTTTTTGTGGATTTAAATATATATTCATGTTTAAAATATTTTTCTTTTAAAATGATATAATTTAATAATATTAACATTATTATATATTCGCAAAATTTGGCGGCACACTTTTGAAATTTGGCGGCACACAAAAGTGCCGCGGAACAGTGGTTGAGAATCACTGATCTAGAGAACCATATCAGCGTAACCTTAACTAGTAAGTGAGCTCACGAGCCTCAAACCTGACGACGTTGCTAACACTAGCCCTAGCAAGAGCCGTGCTTTGCAGAATCTACTACCGGATCGCAAACGCGACCCACTGAGAAGATCCGGCGAGAAACTCAGTGAGCTGTGCCTGTGGGTTAATTTACTCGTAGAGCCCTTCGTCGCAAGCGACGGGTTCGACGAGAACGATGACCAGTGCTTGTGGTACCTAATAGCACCGTTAGTGGATCAGGAGGATCCGAAATGACGTGTATATTTTTCATGAATCTTGATTTGAACTTAGTTTTTTATGGCACGGAACTTTCTCGAATGGCCTTCAGTCGAAAATATATTTTTGGCCAGAATTTGTTGTCTATCGAGAAATACAAGCAAATAATAAAAAATATCCGAAGTAATATATCGAAAACTTGCCATGGGAAACAATAGTAATGGATTCAGCATCTTCATTGATCGAGATTATTCTGCTTGGCTATCCAGGATGGTTGGGCGGCGACTCAGGAGACGATCACGCCAGCCGAAACTCCAGAAAAATTGGAACCTGCAGCAAAGAGGCCTAAAAGCAAAACCTACGACATATCACTGAAGATTCCCCCGCCTGGTAAATAAATATATATGTCTTTTTTCATAATAATAATTAATAAATAACTAAAAAAAATCACGTTCGGTCGTCCGGCCCCAAATTAGGATTCCATTAGGATACCACATACATACATTTAATTATAGATAATAAACGCCCATCAAAGAGCAAACAAACTTGTTGATCACACGAATGTATGCCTGATGCGGGAACCGAACCCACAACCCTCGACGCAAGAGTCAAGGTCGCTAACTACAGCACCACCGAGTCATTCAACTGGTTTTAATAACTTGAAATGGCAACTCTGAAATCTTTGTTTATACTTTGTATGTTGGACGTATAAAAAGCAAAGCTATCATCTATTTAAATAAGAATGAATTGCTGTTCGTTAGTCTCGCTAAAACTCGAGAACGGCTGGACCGATTTGGCTAATTTTGGTCTTGAATTATTTATGGAAGTCCAGAAAAGGTTTAAAAGGTAGATAAATGTGAACATTATTATGAATTAAATAAAAATAATAATTTTGTTTTCTCTTTGATGTGTCTTCCGTCGGACGAATTCCTTTTGTTTGTTTTAAGTTTATTTTATACAAAAGTTTAGGTCTTTTATTTATCGATTGATACGAAGTCTGCCGGATCAGCTAGTGCCTAATAACAATCTCACTGGACTGCGCAATTACTAAAGTATCAATAAGATAAAAATGGACACTATAATAAATAGGCCTCCCGTAAGTAATAAGTAATAAGTAGGCTCTCCCGGGTTCTGTCTCGGGCGGGGATCGCACGATCGGATGTGAGTGCAAGTGAGAAAATGATGTGTTCATTTTGTTTTTACAGAACAATCATTGTCATTCGGAGGGAAAAACAAACAAGCTGCTGGAAATAAAAAAGTAGCGGGCAGGCCGAGGAAATAATAAAAATTTAGAAATTTTGCATATCTTTTGTTTTCCTTTTTTTTTAAGTGATTTTATGACCTGGTAACTAAGACCTTTAAGCCATGTCTTATTTTAATTTATATTCTTATTTTTATGAAAAATGATAATATGGAGTGAAATGAAATGAAAATGATTAATTTGAGACGTTAATCAACTGGGATGAAATTAAATGAAATGAGATGATATGGAATGAAATATAATCTTAGTAAAATGGTGGTCATTTACTAAGATTTTTTCAGTGGAATTTTTGGAAGATCCCGAGAAGTTGCGTCCAGCGGCTTTGTTTCATTTTCCCACATTTGTGCATTTTCACAGGTATTAAACAGTTAATAAACCACCGTTATTACACATTTAAACCTGAAGAAACACTAAATAGACAAAATAAAACAAATCACAAAACTTCACTCCTCGCGTTCCCGCCAAAAAGACCTTTGTTTTCCTTTTTTTAAGAGATTTTATGACCTGGTAACTAAGACCTTTAAGTCGTCTTATTTTAATTTATTTTCTTATTTTTATGAAAAATGACAATATGGAGTGAAATGAAATGAAACGAAGACAATTAATTATTATTTGTGACATTAATCAACTGGGATGAAATTAAATGAAATGAGATGATATGGAATGAAATATAATCTTCGTAAAATGGTGGTCATTTACTAAAATTTTTTCAGTGGACTTTTTGGAGGATCCCGAGAAGTTGCGTCCAGCGGCTTTGTTTCATTTTCCCACATTTGTGCACTTTCACAGATATTAAACAGTTAATAAACCACCGTTATTACACATTTAAACCTGAAGAAACACTAAATAGACAAAATAAAACAAATCACAAAACTTCACTCCTCGCGTTCCCGCCAAAAAGTCCTTTGTTTTCCTTTTTTTAAGAGATTTTATGACCTGGTAACTAAGACCTTTAAGTCGTCTTATTTTAATTTATTTTCTTATTTTTATGAAAAATGACAATATGGAGTGAAATGAAATGAAACGAAGACAATTAATTATTATTTGTGACATTAATCAACTGGGATGAAATTAAATGAAATGAGATGATATGGAATGAAATATAATCTTCGTAAAATGGTGGTCATTTACTAAAATTTTTTCAGTGGACTTTTTGGAGGATCCCGAGAAGTTGCGTCCAGCGGCTTTGTTTCATTTTCCCACATTTGTGCACTTTCACAGATATTAAACAGTTAATAAACCACCGTTATTACACATTTAAACCTGAAGAAACACTAAATAGACAAAATAAAACAAATCACAAAACTTCACTCCTCGCCTTCCCGCCAAAAAGTTCTTTGTTTTCCTTAATCACACATTAGTCTCAGATTAAAAACCACAAAACTCATAAATAATATAAATAGGAATAATAGCTTAGATTCCTTTACCGGTTTAGAGACGAAAACAACTATTTTGGGCGGGAATCCATTTCTTTTTCATAAAATTTTATTGTATTATGAAGTCGTGGCCTAAAGTACTACTGTAGCGGTGTTCGAATCCCGCCTTCAGATATATACCAATATTTCTAATGAAATAAGTGTAATAATGTGTAATAATTTCTTATAAAAATCAAAAATCTTATTAAAATCTACAAAAAATAAAAATTATAAAAACCAAGGTTTATATTGTTTGAAGAATGTTAGATTACAGATATTTAGTTATGGCGGGTAGCCATCATACAGCACAAGATATTTGACAAATGCTTGAATCTAGCTTAAGACTTTTTCAAGATAACCTTCCATATATATACAAGTCCTAAAGAACAACATTCTCATTCCCAATCCTGCGGACCGAATGGTAAACAGTCGACGTCGCCCAAAACAAGTCATTTCGGATCCTCCCGATCCACTGACGGCGCTTTTAGGCACCTCAAGCACCGGTCATCGTTCTCGTCGATACCGTCGCTTGCGATGAAGGGCTCGACGAGTAAATTAGCCCACAGACGCAGCCCACTGAGTTTCTCGCTGGATTTTCTCAGTGGGTCGCGTTTCTGATCCGGTGGTAGATTCAGCGAAGCACTGCTCTTACTAGGGTTTGTGTTAGCAACAATGGCAGGTTTGAGTCCCGTTGAGCTTACCTACACGCCCGGTGACCTGATATGATCTTTCAAGACCATCAGCTAACGGAGGAAAAAAAAACATTCGGTGTTCGGACCGTCGGTCTACCGAGCAATATCACCCGCTCGGTGGAAGATCTTCCTTTCGTCGTTAACTCCCACAAAGTCTTCGTTTTCAATTAATTTTATTATAAAAAGTTCAATGTAAATTTAAATTTATAGGGCAAAAATACTTGATCGTAGTTTAAAATAAATAACGACATACAGAAGAAAACATTTAATTGCAAAATAATAGTAATATCTTTTTTCTTTAATAAAATTCGTATTACAGAGTATACAGTAAGTACCTATCTCCTTTTGTGTATAAATAAATCTCACTTATAACATAACCAAAAAATAATACAACGCAGACTCGGAGGCCGCGCGCGCTAGGAGTCGATGTCAGCATCTTGCTGGCTCGAGAAGTAGCTGACGAGGCCGCCGAACTCCCCGCCGTCCGGGTCCGGCGGCGCGGCCCGGACCGGCGCGCCGTATTCCGGCACGAAGCCGCGCGGCAGCGGCCCCGGCGCGTACGGCCCGTACGGTCCGTACTGCGGCGCGTACGGGCCCAGCGGGTGTCGCGGTCGCCGGTCCTTGTTCTCCGTATGTTTTATCTTAGGATGCCGCAGCGGCTCCGGCGTTGGTCCGGGCGAGGCCGGCGCCGGTGATCCCACTGGTGATCGATACTCCGGTTCGGTTTTAACTTCGGCTTTTATCCGAATGAAGGGATCAACGACTGGCGCGGCAGGAGAGGAGGCCCCGAGCGTGGCGGGCGGCGGCGTAGGTCCGGCGCTTTTAGACGCTTCCGATCCAGGGGTCGAGGGTCTAGGCCCCGCGGAGGGACTCCTCGATTTTGTGGTCTGCATGCTTTGATTCGCGGGTGACACGCTGAGTCTCGCCGGATTGAATCCAGGTCCGTGCGGTGACGGGACTGGTGGAATGCGCGATTCCAAATGATGGGGTGGAATGCGGGAATCCATTGCGTGCAGCGACACGCGTGAGTTCATTGAATGCGGAGAAACGCGAGAGTCTAAGAGATGCGGTGGAACCCGCGAGTCTAGCGGATGGAGCGGTATGGATGGCGCGTGGTGCGGCGGCGCGCGAGATTCTGGGGCACTGTGTGTCGGTAACGGTGCTTCTGGAGCGTGAAGTGGAGGAACCTGTGATTCAGGTATATGATGTGAGGAAACTCTTGATGAATCTGGAGCGTGATGTGCAGGTATTCTTGAGTCTGGAGGGTGATGTGGAGGTATTCTTGAGTCTGGAGCGTGATGTGGGGGTATTCTTGAGTCTAGGGCGTGATGTGCTAGTATCCGTGTATCAGGGACGTGATGTGGAGGTATTCGTGTATCGGGCCCATGCTGTACAGGCAAACGAGATTCTGGGTCATGATGTGGAGGTAATCTTAAGTCAGCACCATGTTGTGAAGGCACTCGTTCCTCCGAGCCAAGATGTGGAGGTATACGTAGGTCTGGTCCGTGATGAGGAGCTCGCACGTCTGGAGCGTGTTGTGCAGGTACACGAGTATCTGGACCGTGATGTGGCGGTACTCTGGCATCAGAACTAAGATGCGGAGGCAAACGTACATCTAGACCCAGGTGCTGATTCACTCGTGCATCTGATGCATGTTGTGGAGGAACACGAGCGTCCGGCCCGTGGTGCGGAGGTCCATGTACGTCATGACCGTGATGTGGAGGCACGCGCACTTCCAGACCAAGAGTAGGAGGACGTCGCATTTCGGGCCCATGATTAGGGGGACCTCTCATTTCGGGTCCATGATTAGGGGGACCCCTCATTTCGGGTCCATGATTAAGGGGACCCCTCATTTCGGGACCATGATTAAGGGGACCTCTCATTTCAGGCCCATGGTTAGGGGGACCTCTCATTTCAGGCCCATGGTTAGGGGGACCTCTCATTTCAGGCCCATGGTTAGGGGGACCTCTCATTTCAGGCCCATGGTTAGGGGGACCTCTCATTTCAGGCCCATGGTTAGGGGGACCTCTCATTTCGGGCCCATGGTTAGGGGGACCTCTCATTTCGGGCCCATGATTAGGGGGACTTCTCATTTCGGGTCCATGATTAGGTGGACTTCTCATTTCAGGTCCATGATTAAGGGGACCTCTCATTTCAGGCCCATGGTTAGGAGGACCTCTCATTTCAGGCCCATGGTTAGAGGGACCTCTCATTTCAGGCCCGTGGTTAGCGAGACCTCTCATTTCAGGCCCGTGGTTAGGAGGACCTCTCATTTCGGGCCCGTGATTAGAGGGACTTCTCATTTCGGGTCCATGAGTAAGTGGACCTCTCATTTCGGGTCCATGATTAAGGGGACCGCGCATTTCGGGTCCATGGTTAGGGGGACCGCGCATTTCGGGTCCATGGTTAGGGGGACCGCGCATTTCGGGTCCATGGTTGGGTAGGGCTCGCATTTCGGGGCCATGATGTGGAGGTCCGCGCGCTTCCGGGCCTCGATGTGGAGGTCCGTGTAAATCTGGACCACGATGTGGTGATCCGCGTAGTTCTGAAGCATGATTTGGAGGAACGCGGGTATCTGAAGAATGATGCGGCGGGACTCGAGATTCCAAATTGTGCGCTGGGGCTCGGACATCGAGCGGTCGCGGCGGCATCGGGTGCGGGGGCCCGCGCGCGTAGTTGAGGGGCCCGGGGGGCGGCAGGTAGGCGGGGGGCGCGGGGCCCGGGTAGTAGCGCGGCGGGAAGCGTGCGGCGCCCTGCATGTACACCGCGCCCTGCCCGCGCGGACCGTACGCGGGACCGCCGCCTCCGTACATCATCTGGTTCCTGCACACAACCGTCAAATGTTACCTTTTTTTTGTTATTGCCCTTGTAGACAGATGAGCATACGGCCCACCTGATGGTGAGTGGTTACCGTCGCCCATGGACTTCAGCAATG